GGGTAAGTTAATTATAGTTTACGAGTACCTAAAATGATGTCTGTAAAGTAGTCACTGCTGTAGAGAGGTCAGTATCGGCTGTGTGATCACACTTAGTTCGACCGTTCTTGATCGCTAGAGAAGCGGATTCGAACGTAGACCTACCCCTGTACAGACTAAATAGCTTATGCCCTCAATAAACCACCCATACTGATAAAACTTAATACCCTTACAATTGTGTACGTTTTACACTAACTATAGAAGTTGTGCATACCAAATGGGGCCAGAATTAGGTCGGGACTGTGTCGTCCAGTGATGAGTATGGTTGACCCAGATCAGTGGATGGTAAGACGGGCGGTTGGGAATCTAGTGAATGCAGGTACTGACAGTAAATATTGGTGTCTGTGTGCAGAGGGAGGAGGAGAGAGAGAGTGATATATGTGTTAGAACACTTTATCTCCACTGTATATCTGACTTGCCTTCTCTTGCACTAAACAGACAGATGAATATAGGAGACTTATGTCTCTTGGTCTGGAGAGGCAATCTGAGGAATGAAACAGGAGAGCAGGGGGGAGTCAGCAGATGGGGGTTGATGACTGATGCTTGTTCTGTCTTTCCTGTCAAGATGTTACCCTCTTGGTGATGACTAATGTTGAGTTATTTTCTTGACAGGATGTACCTTTTGTGAGGAGCTGGCAGAAGATTCACAGTCCAACCAACACCCACCAACTATTACCCTGCAGTCAATTAACCCATCACCCACTTATTATCACCCAACTACCAATTGAGAAGACTGTCCTCCTCAAGATGGGGTACAATATAACCCAAACATCATCCAGTGCCAGAGCCTGTGTGTAACTCAGGGACAGTACTGTGAGTTACTCGTGGGAGCAGGTGCTGTGTGCCTATCCAGTTGCTGTGTGCCTATCCAGTTGCTGTGTGCCTATCCAGTTGCTGTGTACCTATCCAGTTACTGTGTGCCTATCAAGGTGCTGTGTGCCTATCTAGTTATTGTGTCCTCTATGGTGAGGTACTCTCTGACTATTTGATCCAGTGGAGCAGAATTTCCAGAATCAAAGACAGTCGAATCATCCGGAGCTGAAGGAGGCATCATAGACAGAAAGGATAGAAGCTAAGTCTGATGCTTCGCATGATGTTGTTTTCCTCACAGCTCCTTGTTTCCAATGATGACATATAGTCACCTCCAGGACCGGCTGTCTGTATAGTTTCCTTGGGATCTAGACATTAGTGCTGAGATTCTTTCACTGATAGCTGGAATTCACTTCAATTGTTTTTGTACAGATATTATACTAAATACATGCATTCATTTTCATGGCTGACATAATTATCTCTGAGTGCTGTTGGTTCTGAAGGAGGAATCCTTACATTAGGCACGCGACAGGAGTGATATGTGACAAAAACAAAAAGCTCACGATTAAAACTGTATGTCAAAAACCTTTCTATCGGGCTTGTGTTCTCAACATTTTGCTTTACGACAGTAAAACTTGGTCAACCTATTTGCACCAGGAGAGGCGGCTACATAGCTTTCACGTGCGATGGCTAAGAGGAATGATTGGCATTAAGTGGCAGGAAAAAATCACAAACACTGAGGGTATTAGAAAGAGAACGTACTACAACAGTCTTCTCAATGCTTAGTCTACGACCTATGGCTTAGGTGGCTGGGTCTCACCTGGAGAATGGATGAGGGCAGACTCCACAAGGACATCCTCTATGATGAAATAAAGACGGGTAGAAGATGTCGAGCTCGACCTCTATTACGATAAAAAGATTTCTGCATTCGGGACATTAATGATACAGGTATTAAGGTGGACTTGTGTGAGCAAAATGCCATGGACCGTGTTGTGAGGAGGGGGCACTTCAGGAAGGGAATGACAATGAAGGAAGAATTGATTGTAGAATGGATGAGAGCTGAGCGTCTGAGAAGAAACACACTAAATATACATGTTGACAACAATGGTCCTGAAATCTCATGCTGTAATTGTGGAAGAATTGTCATAATGCGGGCGGGTCTTGCTAGTCACACTCGCCATCGCCATGGGCTGTGCGAACCCCATGCCAACTCACATCACAATATAACACTACCGTCTGGAAAGACGGGAAAGGTACCAATCCTCACAACGCTAGACATCAGTGATTCTGACAAACCATATAGTTCCCTGTCTTTTGCACATACACATGTTAATGAATCTCTGTAGTTTATTAGTAACTATTTTACGCATTTTCTGTGTTTCATACAAATGTAACATTTCCAGTTTATAGATCTGTTTATGGAGCTAGCCACTGATAATCTTAATGCGTGCATCCTGTCATCAATGTGATATTGACGACTAGCTACTAAAAAGTGTGAACACTATATGAGCGACGAATTCCTCCAGCCCATTGAGCTAACAGTATGCACCTATATTTAACCCAAGGCTCACCATCTGTTGCTCGTGGTTTTATTGTGAGCGTGTGTTCAAGCCACTGTATGGACAGTTTCTCTTACAACGCTCATTCTAAAGTCGACACTTGTATCAGAGTTGGGATGTTATGGTGTTTATACAGATTTGATCATGTGATTGAGTTTAACAGTTTTCTAGGCGTCAGTGTTTAATTTTTTGTGTGACAAATCTGTGAGTGTCTAAATCATTGTAAATCAGTATTTTAATTCATCGTTCACAATAACAGATTTTCAAAAAAAAAGGGACAAACGTCTGTCACTGCTTCTTAAGAGTTGAGATTACCGGTTTGTGATTACTGTTATGGATTGACGTTTGCCTGTGGATTCAAAGGTCTTGGCTTCGAACTTACACCGATGGATAGCTTAACTTAAATACCATGGAAACAGACTTAGTGGTCGACCACCCAAGCGATGGATAGATGGAATATCTGAGGCATCGAATACCAGCATTTATGCCCCGTACACTAAGGCTTGCACTAGATGCCTCTTCAAAAACCTAAAGCTGAAAGGCAGGATAAGGATTAGAGAGATAAAAAAAAAAGAAGAAGACAATTGGCTTAGCAGTAAATTAGTTTACCAATTTAAAATAAACGCATTGTTCTTATAAGTCAGCATTTATTTATAGAAGAATATACAGAGAGGCAGCTGTTTACCCTTTTGAGTTCGGCAGTTTAAATAAACGACGACAAATAAGCGTGTAACTGACATAATTGCAGCCATTAGGACTCAACATGGTAGGGGGCGTAATCCAAACCTGACATTCCACATCGTGCCAATAGCTAAGGGCGAACGAAGGTAACTAGTCTTGTCCCAAGAAACGATAATGCAGCCAGTAAACGTCATGTTATTTCAGGGGATACCAGGCCCTTAGCTGCTGCTGGTCTATGAGGGAACTCCAACAGGCAGGCAGAGCACAGCTCTTCTAACCAAGCAGGTTCTGCAGAATATTTTGTTCCAAAAGTACTGTTGCCATCTTTTCTTTTAAGTATACAAGACAGATAGAGAGAGAGAGAGAGAGAGAGAGAGAGAGAGAGAGAGAGAGAGAGTTAGAGATCATACAACACGGGCAACGCATTCTCTTTACAGTACTGCCCATGTTTTGTGGTATTTGAAGGAGGAAGCTCATCCCTGGCCTTAACTGATTTTGGAAGCATGACAGTCACAAGTTAACGCCATGGAAGTAGTAATAGAGGTTAAAAACCCAAGTATTTTCTGCCGTTATTTGCTCTTTAAGCTATACTAATAACCCTCCACATGGAAAATAGAGAAAACAATACTCAAATCTTCATTCTCCGGAGGGTTCTCTCCACAAGGAAGAAAGAGGAAAAATTACCAATCTTTCCTCTAGAGGATTAGGGTTCCCTCCACATTGAAAATAAAGGGGTGCAAACGACCAATCCTCCCTCCAACCCTCTCGGGCGAAAGGGTGAGGGTTAAAAGCGGTGGAAGCAGGTTGGTTGTCATGGCTATTTTTTTTAGATTTATGTGTCTTAGTGGTTGTGAATCTCAGAATCTTACCAGAAGAGCACTAAGCATAACCTTATATCTGCCTCGACACCTGAAGCGGTAAAAGAGATAGTAAAGAAGACGAAGAAGAAGAAGAAGAAGAAGAAGAAGAAGATATGCTGGCGAAAGTTGAAGAACTATCAAAGACATGGAACGACAGTTAACCAGTATTCAAAGAAAAAAAAAATACCTGACAAAAATTATGAAAATAAAATGGCAAGCATTCAGGATGAGTGAAGAAATAGGAGAAATGTCTGGTCAACCAATAGTGTGAAAAGTTATAAGACAAAGAAGATGACGCTATATTGGACACGTCCTGGAAAGAAACCAGCAGCCATCAGATAGTCACTAAAATGGGAAATAAGTGGATTAAAGGGGCGAGGACGCCCAAAGGAAACCATAAAAGGAACGTTGATGAGAGAGGCTAAAGGTGCTGGACTGGATTCCATTCGTGATATTGGACTGATTGCGCATGATGGTGCGGGGTGGTGGAGTAGACTATGATCCCTATGTGACATATAATGGCAAAACAGGATAATGAAGAATGAATGAAAGAAGTCTTGCGAATGCTTCGTCCTGACGCGATGGTGAGTTTTTGGTCTTGTGTTCAACACGTTGGCGATGGCTTTATCAGCAGGTAGTGACTACCGTTGCCTGATTACTGAGGATGAAATCGTTCAGTGTTAGAAATTAGTGACAGAGTAAAGAACATTACTATATCATGAAACTAGCTGGGGTAGTTGAGCTTAGCATGGAGGCGTAGTTTGAGGTTTTTCCTATTACTGTCTAAGGTTTCAAAAAAAAAAAAAAAAAACCACTCCACTAGCCAAAATACATTAATATTATCCCAATTCTACGATTCTTATATTAGCTTCATATGCTTCTTGCTCCATTTTTATCAAGATTAAACTGTATTTAAATAAACTCTGTGTAACTGTGTCACTTGAAACCGAGTCCTTCTTGTGGCGTAATCTTGACAGTACAAAGTAAATTGTCCTGTGTTTAAAGTCGCTTTGTATAGTTTCAACACAAGCGCTTTTGTGTGAGTGAAATCATGAGTTCCGAGAATCAGCCTCTGCACACTGCAGAAGAGAGACAGTATTACAACTTCTTCCTGGCCAACATCAAACTTATTGCCAGGACAATGGGTCTTATCACAGTAGCAGGTATAACTTTGTTTTGTTTTTTTCATCCATGTTTATTATTGTCAACAATTGTGTTATATGTAGTCAGTGGTTGTGGCTTGGGTGTTGCTAAAGCGCTTCACAGGTCCGAAATTATGTAACTGGTTCAATTCAACTGCATGCGATATGGCAGAAGGCCGCTTTGAGTTCATTTCGACAGTGGTATGGAGCACCGAACGTCGGTGACAATGATAAATTACTGAAGCTAAAACTGCTGACAAAACCGTAAGAAGCCCAAACATGCTGGCGTTGGTTCTGCCACATCATGTCTCCCTCTTGGTCTGCCGTTCAGTTTGCATTTTGTTCATATCAGAACGACATGATAAACATTTCGGTAGCGCCCGGAGGAGGCAAACTGCTCGATCGATTATGGGAAATGTCTGAGGTCTAGTTTAACCGGGGGTGGGGGGAGGGATGGATTGGTCTTCCCATCTTGCGTGTCGATGATTAGATGTGTGAAGGTATCAGTAAGACACCACACCGCATCAGCAGCAAATACTATGGCAATAACTTTACGATGGGTGTATAAATAACCATTTAAACTCCCAACCCGCTACCCAACCAAAGGAAGAACAAAACAAACAAAAAACACTACTAAAATAAGACTTATCTCCCTAAACATTGATTGGGAAAAGGGAAAAGGGAAGAGGGGGGGGGTGTTGGTTGTTTCAGACTGCTGAAAAGTATTTGGGGAGCGGGAAGTGTTGTGTTAGACTGCTGAAAATTATTGGGGGGAGAGGGAAGTGTTGTGTTAGACTGCTGAAAATTATTGTGGGAGAGGGAAGTGTTAGACTGCTGAAAATTATTGGGGGAGAGGGAAGTGTTAGACTGCTGAAAATTATTTGGGGAGAGGGAAGTGTTAGACTGCTGAAAATTATTGTGGGGAGAGGGAAGTGCTGTGTTAGACTGCTGAAAATTATTGTGGGAGAGGGAAGTGTTAGACTGCTGAAAATTATTGGGGGAGAGGGTAGTGTTAGACTGCTGAAAATTATTGGGGGAGAGGGAAGTGGTGTGTTAGACTGCTGAAAATTATTGGGGGAGAGGGAAGTGGTGTGTTAGACTGCTGAAAATTATTGGGGGGAGAGGGAAGTGTTGTGTTAGACTGCTGAAAATTATTGTGGGAGAGGGAAGTGTTAGACTGCTGAAAATTATTGGGGGAGAGGGAAGTGTTAGACTGCTGAAAATTATTTGGGGAGAGGGAAGTGTTGTGTTAGACTGCTGAAAATTATTTGGGGAGAGGGAAGTGTTAGACTGCTGAAAATTATTGTGGGGAGAGGGAAGTGCTGTGTTAGACTGCTGAAAATTATTGTGGGAGAGGGAAGTGTTAGACTGCTGAAAATTATTGGGGGAGAGGGAAGTGTTAGACTGCTGAAAATTATTGGGGGAGAGGGAAATGTTAGACTGCTGAAAATTATTGGGGGGAGAGGGAAGTGTTGTGTTAGACTGCTGAAAATTATTGGGGGAGAGGGAAGTGTTAGACTGCTGAAAATTATTGGGGGGAGAGGGAAGTTTTGTGTTAGACTGCTGAAAATTATTGGGGAGAGAGAAGTGCTGTGTTAGACTGCTGAAAATTATTGGGGGGAGAGGGAAGTGCTGTGTTAGACTGCTGAAAAATTTTTGGAAGGTTTTGTTTGTGTGTGTGTGGGTGTGTGTGTATTTGTGTGTGTGTGTGCGTGTGTGCGTGCAAGCGTGCGTGTGTGTGGGTGTGTGTGTGTGCGGGCGTGCGGGCATATGTGTGTGTGTGTGTGTGCGTGCGAGCGTGCGTGTGTGTGTGTGTGGGTGTGTGCGGGCGCGCATATGTGTGGGTGTGTGTGCGTGCGTGCGTGTGTGTGTGTGTGTGTGTGTGTGCATCTCTTATTTCATTGCCAGTCTTACCGAATCATTTTTATTTGACAATTTTCCCCGTGCACATTCCGAGCTCTTTTTTTATTGGGGGAGGGGGCATAGAGGGGGCATAGGTAGACACACTGCCTGTCTCAAAAAGGAGACTTATTAAAGATTTTATGTATGTAGGGCTCAAAAGCTGAAGTATCACAGCTAGCTGTAAATCACATGACAGAGTGCCAAACGTCATTTTTTAGCAGAACTCATGGTATCAGGAGAGAGGGACAGGGGCCGACAAACACGAAGATGGGTGCAGGATATAAGTGACTCTTGAGTATGAAAGTACATGAGACGGGAGAGCTAGCAAGAGACCGAGTTTCTTTCAGGCAAACCGTGATAAGGACCTGCTACATGATGATAATGATTTTGATATAGCAAGCTCCTCATTACGACTTTCTTATTGCTTGTTCAAATGATGTCATTGGAAGTTTGCCTTTAACCAGCGACATTCTCTCTGTTTCAGTGATGTGGGTATCCACGGTAATCATCATCAACGACTACAGTAAGAGTTATCTGGGATATTATCTCATGTAAGTTCCGGTGTTTGTTTTATATTTACCATAGACAAGCATTCTGTCTGTCTGTCTGTCTGTCTGTCTGTCTGTCTCTAGATTAAGCCACTGAACTGTGATTAAGAAGCTTAACGACGATGGGAAGGGAAACAATTCACATGAACAATCGACTACGTTTCAGTAGCAGCTGTTGAGACAGGTGAGACAGTATCCTGGTCAACACGTGAGGTACGCCAATCAACGCGTGCGCGTGCACAGAGAGGCGCCCGCAAGAAAAAGCTTGACATGAGGCCTCAGCCATGACCTATTTAAGTCATACATAATCCCTATATATATATATATATATATATATATATATATATATATATATATATATATATATATATATATATATATATATATATATATATATATATATACACATGTATATATATGTATATATTGTAATAATAATAAAAATAATAATAATAATAATAATAACGTACTAAGTCGCGAAAAAAAGGGAATAATATATCTGAAAGATTATGAAATGTATAAATCCTTGAAAAGATCATTTCTTTTCATGCTTGAAGAAAGGGTAGAGGCGTGGGTGTTTGGGGGTTATTCCGTTTAGACATTTTTTACGTAACCCTAAAAAAATTTTGAGAAGGGGCTTAAGGTGCCTGAACCCTTTGCACACACACACACACATACACATGCACACACACATATATATACACACGCACACGCGCGCGCACAGACACGCGCGCACACACACACACATACACATGCACACACACACATATACACACGCACACGCGCGCGCACAGACACGCGCGCACACACACACACACTGTGTGTGTGAATGTTTGTGTAAGAAGGTCTTTATAGGCAAGAGTACCAACTTTAAACGCACACAGACACAAGCATCACAGCACATGTTGCACGTGCTCACACTTTTGCCCATACAAACTCTGTGTGTGTATGTGCTCGCACGCACGGGTGCGAGTATATATAACATGTGCAGGAACTGCTGTGTCTGTGTGTGTATGTGCTCGCACGCACGGGTGCGAGTATATATAACATGTGCAGGAACTGCTGTGTCTGTGTGTGCTTTGATTCATACGAATGTTTGTGCTGGTGCGAATAAGGGCCAAATTTGTGTGATTATTGTTGTTCAACCCCACCAGGGCCGTACAACGAGCGACCAATACCCGGTAACACAAAGTGCCACCATCTGGATGGGGATCACTCGGGCACAAGTTCCAGAAACCCCGTTCAACCCATAGATTTGGTTATATCAGGAGCCTCGACGATAATCAGTGTGGGGGTTTAAAAAAACGAAAAATTACGTCCTATGTTGGAACCGTTGGTGTATTATTACACGATAACCACGTTTGTGGTCTTGTCGAACCGTTAATTAAGGAGACCTTCGTGAGCGGGTGTTAAATACAATCTGTGCATACTGTGACATTTAACTGTGTTGTATGGGGTGAACAAATCAACCAGCAGTTATTTTTTTATGTACACTGGCTCATGGAACCGCTAAATGAATAGCACACTTGTCTGTGGCTTTGATAGTCAACTGTTCGAATCCTCTCTCCCAGTATTGGTTCTTGGACTCCACTAACAGGGGCAAGAGACTAATTTAAGATCTTACTGAAATAAGATGTAACATTTTGAACAATTAAACAGAGGATGTATGTAGCGAAGTGGTCAGGCCATTTGTTGCTATATATTTTGAGTTGGGTTTATTCGACTATAAAACGCATGTTGCTGCATATTTTTATGTTGGGTATTGGTTCAGATTATAAACAGCGTATTCCAACTAACACTGTGCTACCAGTGCCAGGTATTCATACAAACACTGTGCTACCAGTGCCAGGTATTCATACCAACACTGTGCTACCAGTGCCAGGTATTCATACCAACACTGTGCTACCAGTGCCAGGTATTCGTACCAACACTGTGCTACCAGTGCCAGGTATTCGTACCAACACTGTGCTACCAGTGCCAGGTATTCGTACCAACACTGTGCTACCAGTGCCAGACTTGGACATTATCAGTGGCTAACCTACTGAAATGAGATGTCTGAGAAAAGCTGCCCATTCAGCCTTCTGAGACGAAGCTAGAAATGATATTATTAGACTGTATGAACAACACCATGTAGCAAATTCATTGAGAAACAGAAAATCAAATGGTTCGGTCATTTAAAAAGAATGCAACCAGAAGAACTACTAGCGCAGGCGTCACACACAAACAGATCTGAAGTTAAACCAAGAGGCTGCCCTAGGAAAACATGGACTGATGACATTAAAGAGCTTTTTCGTCGACACGGAATGACAGTAGCCATTGCTGCACATCTAGCAATGGATCGCAAACTGTTCCTGCCCAGAACGCTTGCTGGAAGAAGTGGAACTTGATGATGATTATGATTAGTTCAGCATAATATCAGAGAAACTCTACAACATCACGATGTGTCTTAAAGTCTAAGCGGTCAGAAGAGTAGATAATCGTCTCCTCTGCGGCGTAGGCGTTGCGAACGCACTTCGTATTTTCGAAGTGCCGGGTTCGTTTCCAGATTCGGGTGATTTGGTAGTAAACCGCCTTGTGTTGGTTTCGACAGTGGTATCAAGAGCCGAGCTGATCGTTTAGATGACAGGGGCAAACTACGGAACGCAAACATCGCCAAGGAAAATCATAGTCAGCCAAAAATTGATTGAATAGGTTCTGCAAATTCTGTAAAGGATACGCAACTAACTTTACATTAGATCACTAGATATATATTGTTAGATGTTGTATGACGTATGGTAAATGAACAGACTGGTTTTGCTCAATGTTGTATGTTGAGAAGTCGATGGGGAAGGAGTATCGCAGGGATGTGAGCAACACAGATTTGATGTGTTGGATTATAAAATTAATCCTTTGACGATGTTTATAGCTAAGACCAAACAACGTTAAAATTTTCCCCTACTCTGGGGTTTGTAGATCGCATATTTACACGTTCTAGGTATTAATGATGAACTTGATAGTTGAAGGAGATTCGTGGCACAACCTGGACTTTAATAAATTTTTACGTCACTGTGAACTTTCTTGTGCAACAGAAAATTGGGACTGGCTCGTGGGTTTTCGTAAAAGATGTGAAAGTTATGTGCACATCCGTGGTGATTTCAATGTTCCGAACAAAGAATGGAGCAGTAATGAGGAAAACAGACAAGGAAATGCCCTAATAGAATCTACGGTTGGTGCAGAAGTGATCAGCTTGTACCGCCATGAGAGCTGGCGATAAGGACACGGTTTTTGGTTACATTTTCACTGTCTTCTTCTTCTGCCTTTCTATCCCCCAATGGAGCATAGACCCTCAACCAACTCACGCCAAGTCGTTCTATCCTTCGCCATTGCACGGAGCCCTCTCCATGTCCTCCCCATCTTTCTAACCTCGTTCTCCAGCTCTCTTCTCCATGTGTGTTTTTTTTTTTTTTTGCCTTCCTTTATTCCTATGCCCCTGTGGGTTCCAACGCAAAGACATTCTAGTTATGCAGTTCTCCTGTTTTCTCAGTGTGTGTCCTATCCAACGCCAGCGTCTTTTCCTCACCTCTTGGTTCACTGGAGCCTGTTTAGTTCTCTCCCAAAGTTCTACATTAGTTATTCTATCATACCATTTTATATCCTCTATTCTGCGCATGCACCAGTTAATACTGTACTCTCCGTTATTTCTAATAGACAGATCACAAACCTGCACCCTCTGCCTTATTTCATCAAAAATTATTGTGCAGCAGAAGAGAGTGGGAGATTACATTTCTGCAGTAATAGATTATCGATAACCGTATGACAAACCAGGTCACAGATGTGTGAAGTGCTACACATGTGGCCCCAGGTCTGGGTACAAGGCTACCAGGTGGTATGTCTTTCCCTGCCCTAACACAGAACCATGTCAACCAGTGTAAAACTTCATGTGTCGCCATTATGCCGCCACCTGGTTTGAAACCTGCTATCGTAGTCCATCACAGCCAATCTCTCTAGCGGCTTAGCTATCCAGACGACTAATGAACGAACGAAATGTATTTTTAAAGTATTATTAAACGGTCACGCAGGCCTACCTTAAATTCAGTCTACCAACCATTTATTTTTCACACATTAGTTGTAATTTATGTATAATAAAACTCATTAAGCAACATACATACTATGAAAACAAACACTGAAGAAAGGCTTCAGTTTGTCTTGTTCGTTTCAGTGTGGATTATTATCTTTGCACTCTGGGTGTGTCACCAAGTGCACCAAACTGCTCGGTAGTGAATGGCACAGTAACTAACTACCAGTACATTGCTGACTGGTTAGTTTACTGACTGATAAAGTGTGCTGCCTTTTTCTAGTCATGTGGATCTTCTATTCCAGCTCGGTGAAACTTCTATTAGAGTCTGGCTTTGATCATCATGTCTGTCGTTAGCATTACATTTACCTGACCCGTGATCAGTTCATGCAGTGATATTTTTCATACAAAGAATATTCTGTTCAACTCTTTAGGGTATAATTTTGATACGTTGTGTCCATACGACGTTGTGTTAATACGACGTTCTGTCCATACGACGTTGTGTCCATAGGTTTATTCTAGCAACATCTGTTATATACAAGTTTGGTAGAAGATCCACATGATTGATTTACTTCTCATTGAAATTATACTTTAACAGAACTAGACAACATAATATCGATTAATTTTATCAATAATTTCACGCATTGCAATATAATTCTAAAGGATTTATGACTTATGGGTAAATGGCTTTATTATATGTGCTCACGTGATTTGTATGTCCGTGTGGCTGTGCGTGTGCTAGTTAGTAGCGTATCCTTTACAGAGCGTTACAGAAACCAACCCCAGCATTTGATGGCTAGTTTTTTTTTTTTTTTTTCTGTTTTCTCAACTAGACAATTTTACGTTCAGTAGTTTGCCATTCCACTCTGACAGTCGGCTCTCGATAGCCATGTCGAAATCAACACAGAGCAGTTTGCTGCCAAATCGAAGCTTGTAGACCTTCACAACGCCTACGCCACAATGTATTATTATGTTTTGTATTTTCTAGTATATTGTTGTGTATACTGCTGTGTTGCTGTATTGTTGCAAATTTGCATTTGTGTGTATCTGCATTACTACATATCTGTATTGTTATAGAATAAATGCTAGATGATAACTTTCAACAGAGACCTTCATTATGAAGATGAAACTTATTGATTTCAATCTGTCAAATTCTTGTTTCTTCTTAGCGTTCACCAGCTGTAAACTCCAGTGGAAAGTTATGGTTGTTCGTCCAGTTCTGGACTTTAGTTATATTATAACTTGAATTTCACGTGTAAATGCATTTTACAGAACTAGTTATTTTATGCAGACTGTTGGTTCCTCGCCTATCAGGCAGATGTACTCCGATCTTCAAGAAAACCCCTAATTAATTATTCGGCTTTTCCTACATGAGTGTTGGGAGTGATGATATATTATCACCCCCCCCCCCCCAGCCCCACAATGGGGCCCCGGCACCCATGCGTATAAATCTGTCAAATGATCACAACGATCTCCAACATGATAAAGAGAAATCAGAGCAAAGAGAAAGTGTCGCTTCAGTTAAGACGAACAACGAAAAACTGCACTCTCCTTTGTGATGCTTGCCTGATATAGATGTCCCTAATGGGATATTGGTTCTACAGTAATCTTTACTCTACCAGTGTGTTGCCGAACGCTTAGTTGAAACAAAAATAGAAACACAGCACTTTATTAAGCATGTTGTAAGAGTTGACTAACAGTATGGTTACGACTGTCTACGATTTGGTAAAAAGATTTAGTACCAAAAGCCGAATAATTTTGAACAAGTCTAACAAGGCTTGACACAAGTTGGTCGAAGGCCTCTGTCCCACGGAGTGATTTAAAAGTCGAAGGAGAAAAATATTAAATCTTCATACTTCATGAACGGATTACCCATATAAGACAGTGGCTTTTATGTATTTCTTGCAGAGCGGCTTCATCTGTGGTGACATTTTTCGAAGTGACCTGGATCCTGGACAAGATGGCATGCTGTGTGTAAGTCAAACAATACAACATTTACAGCTGTACCAATAAGCGGGCTTGTCAGAGTTAAGCGAATGACTTGACTTTGATGTGGTGGAGAATACTTAAACTATTGTAATTTTGTTACTTAAAAATCATAAACAGCTAGCTATTTTACACCATGCTACAGAAATCTATAGATCAGCCCAATCACCTCACTGGTTACATTCAGTGCTTTATTAGTGCCCGCTGCTTGCTTTATGATCTTAGCAAATCTAACCATGTCTCGCCTGGTCAGGTTTTTTTCATAGAAATATCCCCTTTATTGTAATCTAAAAACTGACAGCAACATATTGACCGATAGTTTATGTCGCGTATTTGATCCAGTTGAATGTTGAATTCTGAATCGACATCATAGAAGTCGGGACACTCCTATAAGCACCCCGTCTCTATCTTCTGCAGCAAACGAAGAGTTTCCACTCCGACGTTACCAGTAACTATCTGTTTGTATATCCGTCTCGCCTTTCCCTTGAGTGTCGAGCATCGGCCAGATCTCTTGGCAACTCCTCGCAGCGCCATTCTCTTCAGACTTTAATGATCTATTTGAGCTTCCGCGCTGTTCACTCGCTCACAGAGGGCCTTCACAACATCTAGCTTGTCACACATCAGTTCACCAGTTTTATCCAGTGATATTCGTTATACACTGCAATAACTGTTACACCTGGCTTATGATTTTATTAACCCTAGCTGCAACTGTGTTCGGTCTCAATATTGATTTTCTGAGGTACCCATATCCCACACTAGTCACGCCTTCTGCTTTGACGTCTTGACTGCTGAGTGTTCAATACAGATTTTTGAAAATGTATATTATCGATGGTACAGTTGTCATGACCTCTACTTGTTTACTTGTTTCACTGCTTACTTTCTTCACATATCCTTTGCATTTGGTGTCCAACTGATTTTAATGTAAATTTGGATTATCTGCCTTATTGCCCAAGATCACCAGCCAATCTATTACACTGACAATATTGTTTTGTTGTTGATGTTTTATTAAAACCCAGATTGGTTCAAAGGGTACGAGTCATTTGAAAGGACAACCAGGCCTCTTTTTTTTTAAGGTTGCGTAGCGCAGCGGTTATACAGCTGCCTGCCAGTCCATAAGTGTTGCGTTCGGAGTCGCATTGTGTAGATTTTTGTAGAATGACTGTCTCCCGGGTAGACCCAACGCAAAATTGATACTTAGAAATGTCTTGGAGGTAAAGGCGGCCGATGTGATGTGGACCGCGCCACCTATGAAGAGACGATTAGACTTTAAAAATTGGGCTTAAGCATTCTATACCCCTTTTGTCAATGACAGGAAAATATTCTTTAAAAAATATTTTAATATATATTAATGGTTGAAAGGGTCGTGGGAAGGATGCTTTGATGTTTAATATTTCTTTAATCATGGTTGAAAGGTGACACTGGGATCTGTACATTTTGCCGTGACACCCGAAACATGGCTTATCGAGTCACTATAGTGGCAAGGAGTTGATGTGGATCACACAAAACACCTCCCAGCCCCTACCCAACCCGCACAGGCAATAATGAAACCCACCCAAAACCGTTGCATTTTTATCGATGCTCTGTCATTTTCAACTTACATCCCTGAAGGCGGAGTTTAAGGTTATAATTGTGGCTAGGTTACGTGCGCCCCTTAAAATGGCTTAGCACTGCTCGCCACCAAATAGCTCTGCAAAGAACTCTTGCAGTGTCGATGCGATCAAAAGGAAACAGGCCCAAATACTGTCCCGATCGGCGACGAAGTCGTCTACCGGCCAGCCAATTGGCGACCCGCTCGCCGATGAAGTCCAGAGCATTAATGCTCAGAATGTATATTATAGAGGCGTTGGTATAGAAGGACAATTATCCTGACTCAGTGCCACAGTGTCAACTTTGAATTAAAGTGTCAGGTGCAGCAAAACAGAGAAACTATACCTGGTGATACCGGTTAAATGGGGGACTGAGCAGAGGGTGTGGGCAAAGCTAAACTAGAAAAGACAAATGAACCTCTAATCATGTTTAATAAAACATCTTAAAAAGACATTACAGGTTGCATGCCAAACTTCAACAACGTTACATTGGTCGGTTACTGAGTTACATATTTTAATGTTAGGTACGACTTCTGAAACGGACTATACCAGGGCTATTTAACCTATCAATATTGGTGTAGAAACTCTTGACTGGCCAATTGAGAAATTGAGCAGTTGTGGGCATATGCCAAGTTAGTGCAGGGATGCCGACTCCTGACTCGTTCATTCATTCATGTGTTCATAGTTAGCGTGCTAATTGACTAAAGAGCACAACTTCACTCCACATATCATGATAACAATCTTCACCATGTCCTGAGAATAGAAGCAGTATTGTTACATCATAATATCTGAAAAGTAGATCAGTATTCCTAAACCAAGACATGTGAGGATAGAAATCAATCAAATAGAATCAGTTGTCTTTATGCCTAGTGGCACATGAGGCTTCAGAGAGGACTTTCCATGCTTTCCTGTCCTGTGCAATCTTCAGTGCAGTTTTCCATGTCAGAAATGCCCCACTCAGTTCACTTTCCATCGTTCGTCTCCGTGTTGTTTTTGGGCGCCCCTTCTTTCTATTTTCCCCAAGAATACAAAAGGCAAAAATATATACGGAAATCTGAGAATAGAAACAGAATCACAACATCTGGAAACTACAGATAACAACAGTATCACTACACTCCAGTATCTGCCAACTGAAACAGCACCACAACATCTGGACACTACAGATAGCAACAGTATCACTATAGGAATAAACTCACAGGGAGCAAGTACAGCAGGGATCTACCAGTCGTCAGTAGAAATTATCCTCGTCGACAAGTGTTTCGGCCCACGATTCCAAGACACTTTCGGAGGTGGGCCCACCTGAGTTCATGAAGCTCAGGGCTGGTACCCTGCTGCATGAAATTACCGGATGGTGTTATTCTTTCGGACAGGGACAAGACGACTTGGTGATTTGCAGAAGGTACTGTGAGATAAGAAGTCGTCGCGGCAGCCTAATTAAAGCAGTCAGCATACCTGGACGACCGAGCGACAAGCTTACGATTGGTTTACCAGACACATGAAGACTTTTGTTAGCAGGTGGCAGAGGATCACTGACAGACAATTCGAACACGATGGACTTTCAAGGGGTGAGAAACTCTTTTTCGCTAGACACCCGGACCAGCTCACCGAGGCCCGTCCCCTATGTTGTTTCGCTGCGTCCAAAGCCAGCTCGAGGCCCTTTCGGCTACCTCGCCCAGTCTTTTTAGTGTTCTTTTCCGTTCATTACCGCGCAATCCTAGTTCTTTAATCACATTGTAGAGCGAAGTGGAAACGAGGCCTCTCGCTCCCACTTCGACGGCAAAGACCCGTACCGTGTACGCCTCGTTTCTCCTCAGACCGGCTGCTAAATCATTGTATTTCTCGAGCTTATATAGGTGATTTTCATCCATACGCGACTCATACGGGACGGTCAGCTAAATCAGGATGAGATGCCGTTTCTCCGCAGAGTGGAGAACTATGTCAGGTTGCAAACCGGTCTTCCGGATTAACTCAGGGTACCTTTCATGGTCCGGCAGATCAACCGCCAGTAACCAGTCCCTCGCAGAGTCTAGCACAGATGGAGCGAATGCGTTTCGGTTGACCTTACCTTTTTGAATCTGACCAGCCTTGAGGAAACGAATGGGGACGATGGTAGAACTGGCTCTGGCGTTAGCCCTCATTCTAGCCTGGTCAACAACGGCAGCTAACTCTTTTAGCACCTTGTTGTGTCGCCAGGTATATCGGCCTTGGCCTAGGGCTTTCCTGCACGCGGACAGGACGTGTTCAAGAGTTTGCTTCGATTTACACAACGGGCAAGTCGGATCGTTAGTCGCAGACCATTTAACCATGTTAACACCGGACGGTAATACATCGTACGCCGAACGAACGATAAAGCTCAGTCGCAGCGGGGTCATCCGCCAGATCTCACCCCATGTGAGTATTCTTGGCAATGCGCTCTCCAGGCTGACCCAATGGCCCTGCTGCGACTGCTAGGCTGCTTTCTGAACCCGAACCTCGTTTTCGTTGTCCCTCACCATTTGTATTACCATATCTGGGCGCTCTTTGGCTGAGGCCTTTGACCACCAATTGACCTTCCCGTGCCCTAGGCCTCGACGGTCGGTTTGAGTGTATCACTATACTCTAATATCTGCCAATTGAAACAGCACTACAGCATCTGGACACTACAGATAGCAACAGTATCACTACACTCCAAAATCTGCCGATTGAAACAGCACCGCAACATCTGGACACTACAGATAGCAACAGTATCACTGCATTCCAATATCTGCCAATTGAAACAGCACCGCAACATCTGGACAGATAGCAACAGTATCACTACACTCCAATATCTGCCAACTGAAACAGCATAACAACGCCGCATCTTGAAATATAGAAAGCATCACTAAACACGACAAACGACAAAAGAAACACCACTCTTCTCCATATATGACCAAAATGTTACTTCGGTATCCGACTTACTTGTTTCTTGTTGTCCGTATCGACATCCTAGCACATCGATCCGACCCATTCCTGCTCTGTCCTTTGATGCAGCAGCCATCTCAGTGTCTCCATGCTCAACGTAATCAGTATATTGGCATATTTTCTTTCTTTGCCGATTTCCGACGAAAGCTGCTTTAAACATACTGGTTAACTACAGCGTTGTGATCTAAAATCTCATTTATCAATACAGCACTCAACTCCCCGATACAATGAATGTTAGCCTCTTGATGGCGATCGTCTTTTCAAAGTTAAATATATGTTTCTTGTATCTGCAGGCGTGAAGGTTGTTGCTGCCGGATGTGGGCCGCCATCATGTGGGTAGACAACTGGAAGAAATTTATACTGTATGTATTGTTGGCTGTACCACTTTTTCTAGAGAACATGCGCCTGGTTCTGGGCATAGTTAGTGGTAAGTACAAGTGTTCCTGCTTTTGCTGGGAATGTTTCCACATTTACTATCTTTTACATATCTCCCATCTACTGTTATGTTACCGTGGTACCCAAGTACTTGAGCTCATTGGATTGAAAAAGCAATGGCCCAAGAAATAACATTAAACTTTAAATGAATAAGATATTTTTGTCAGTTAAGGTAAAAATTAAAAAAGTAAAGATCCCTTTTTGCGCCTTTGGGCACACTAGGCACATGGGAAGAGCTCCATATTTTTACAGCCAATCGGCACTGGGTGGGTAATGTGGTTAGCATTACGCCAGCCGTCTTTACTTCCCCAGGACATAAATCCTGGTACCCGTTTTAGCCTGGGGCGACCTTCGACGCCCAATACCGCGATGATAATCCACGCAACCAGCCGGTATGTTGGAATTACCAGTCGGACTCGCAACGTCTGAGCCACGGACGCCGCTCAATGAAGGTAAATATAGAACGAGTCGTAGTGCTTGAGCAGGATCACTGGTGATCATCGAGTTGGCCAACAGTTATGGGGAAGCTGAGAAGTTGTGTTCTTGGAGAATGATGAGAACACCATGAGCAAGTAGCATCCTTAGTGATGTCTTGAAAGAAACTCTCTCTCTCTCTCTCTCTCTCTCTCTCTCTCTCTCTCTCTCTCTCTCTCTCTCTCTCTCTCTCTCTCTCTCTCTTACACACACACACACACACACTGACACATAAAGAAACAATACACACAGACAGACAGACAGGATAAATCTACATTTTTTTTATTTTTTGGAAAAGGGGGGGGGGGGGTGCAATGTCGTGATCGAAAATTTTAAAACTTGGGCTACAGCAAAAGAAATGAATGAAAGTAGAGGCATACCAAGAACGGTGTTAGACAGCTTGGCTAATACTGAAGCCCATCTATAGGTTGTGGATAGACCTGATCACCAACGGTACACTGCATGAACTTATTCTCTGTCAGTCCAACAGTTTCGCAGAAGATACCCACACTGACAAATAACCAAACAGTGAAATCAAGAGTGCAAACGAAATGTAATAAGATAGAGGACACATTCAGCGATGGGTGGGACACGAGGTTACAGTAACTAACACTCCATACGCGACTTGGGACTGACGGAGTTCACAAAAAGAAAAAAAAAATAACACTACATTGCTGTTGCAGTTGGCTGGTAATATGAATAGAATGTTGGGCTTTCGTTGCTGGAGACTCGGGTTCGAATCTTTGGTAAGACTTGCATTTTTTATTCGTCCATAGCAGAAATAGATATGTGCACAGTTCACGATGACCTTGGCTCCTAGGTCGATCCAGCCTTAAATGGTACTGACTGACTGACTGACTTTCTACCCCACCAGGACATCACACAAGCGATAAACACCCGAGGACACCAAGTGCCACCATGTGGGTGGTCTCAGAAACCGCGTTCAGCCTTCAGGCCATATTTATGGTCAGGCTATATTGCAGCCCCCTGGCAAGAGCCAGAGTAGGGCTTCAAATGATGAAACATTTAGTCCTAAAAAGGATGGAAATAGTGTTTATAAAAAAGTACTAGGTAATGTCCTGGGAAGTAAAGGCGGCAGCGTGATTGGTCTGTGAACTCTGTCTAGACCTATATGTTCAATAGGTCTGAAGACGTGGGTAATGGTCCTTTACTTTTCACGGTGACTGCATAGCCCTAAATCATCAAGCTCAAGACCTCCCTCTGTCGCACACCGACCTAAAACGTTGAACTACTTAACTAGAGACAAGTAGAAGGCCTAGCTTGTTCTATTTCACTGATTGGTGTGTTTGTGTTCTTCCGCCACAGGACTGTTGCTGATCCTTCTATCGACATTGTACCTCATCAAGACATTCAGAACCTATAATGCCGTGTACTATGAAACAACGGAACAAAGAAGGCAGGTTATTATCTCCAAGACTCCGTCCATCCGTACAGTGACGCATGAAATCTCCACACAGACCGACACAGAACATCGGCTGTATACCGCCACCGATGTATCAGAGGACGGAGGTGCTACTGGCCCCTCCCCGAGTTAGTGGCTGTGACAGTTACTGGGACACTCATTGCCACATACTTGCCGCCATGCCAGGGTTTCTGTCAAATCTGTCAGTTTTCTCCCTCTGTATCCTTGTCCAGTGGGGCGTTGGGCAACGACCCCCCCCCCCCCCCCCCCCCCCCCCCAAAAAAAAAACATTTTAGGAGAATCGGGTTAAGCCCCTTCCCTAGAAAATGGGTAATGGGGCTAAACGCCCCTTTTCTAAACATGTAAAGACGTTCTCTTTCAAGTATTTGTTTATACATTTCATATTATTTCACATATTTATTATTATGTTTATGTGTCATTCAGATCATTATTATTATTACGCACTTAAGGCTCAGTCTCATGTGCACCCCCTCGACAATTTTTTAAGAGGCTCACCTTCCCCCTTGGGGGCGGAACCCCTATGTTTTTTTTTTGTATCAGCGCGCCTGCCCTGTTCCAATTTTCAAGAAAATAGTAAATTTATTTATTTAAATTAATTATAACTAATTATAATTATAAATAATTATTAGTTAAAATAATGTATATATATTTGTTCCATGTGAGATGAGCTTTTTCTTTGAAATCCTTTTGCTTTGGTTAGTCATTCCATTAACTCTCTCTCTCTCTCTCTCTATATATATATATATATATATATATATATATATATATATATATATATTATATATATATATATATATATATATATATATATATCTCACTCACTCTCTCTAGCCACCCAGTTTGGATTTTGAATGTTCCTATTTTTGTGGCGTTGTAATATTTGTTTCCTAATATCTATTTCTGTTTAATCCCCCTTCCAAACCCCCATTATCACCCAAAATGACAGTCAGGAAACCCACAAGAGAATTTTTCATATCACGACATGTAGTAATAACCCTGCGTGCAACTATATGCAAGAGAAAGACTTTTCAAATTGATTTCATGAGTCTAGAAAGATACTGCTCTACCCGCCAGGACAGAAATGGGTGTCTGCTAAGGATCACTGAATATTTATACTTATCCACATGCATTGATATGTAATGTCCAGTCAGCTATCAGTGCCAAATGTGGACACTTACATCCTCCAATGAACGTAAAATTGTGACAACAGCGAATATATGCCTTAGAAGAGTTGTAGGAGTTTTAAGGAAAAACAGAATACGAAATCACAAATTTAGACGAATGCTAGGAATAAAGCCAGTCTTACAGGTCATTAAAGAACAACAAATGAAGTGGTTTGGACACCTAACAATAATGCCCTGGTACTGTCTGCCACAGCGAGCCACACTAAAACGTTACAACGGCTAAAGAGCCACACTAAAACGTCACAACATTACAACGTTGGAAGACCTCTGAAAATATGGAGTGATGGCATTAAGAACAGCCTTACAGAAATGAACATCAGTCTTAATAGTGCTCTTGACAGAGCTCATCATCAAATGTTATATCTCCCCTGACACTTCGATGAGGTACAAGGTGAAAGAGAAGTAGAAGAAGAAGAGGAAGAAGAAGAAGAAGGAGAAGAAGAAGAAGTCAGTGTAGTCCCCTGCAGGAATAGCAGGCTTTTTTTTTAAGCTGATAATTATTCATAGCATGCGATTGATGTTATGCATATCCAGACTGGTCCTTTGCACAAGAAACGGTTTCCCCACCAATGACAAACATTAGAAATAGACAGTCTGTGGTCATGTTATGAGAAGAAGGAAACTGGGAGATGTAACCACTGGAAAGATTTGTGGAAAGAGAGAGGGACAGAGAAAGACAGCGCGAGAAGATTCTTGACAGTCTTTTGTCATGGCATGGAAAAAACGCAGCTGCAGATTGTAAATTGTGAAGAGGTTTGGTCGCCCCCACCAGTCGGTAAGGTACTGATGAAGTTGACCTATCACATTGTATTTGTCTTGTCAAATTATGTTCACTATGATCATAGCTTCATATTCCCCATTTACATGCGCCATATATGATATACAAATCATTTGCATTCAAATGGAACTTTTCCTACTGAATTCCATCACGCCCAAACACAAACTACTTTTACTCATTGCATGCTAAAAAAAGTTATTTCTTTCACTATTAAATATTTGAGCCTGAAAAGTCAAAATAATAAAACCTTGGCACAGGCGGAGTTACAGTAAGAAAATTGATAGGATGGGTCATGTAATTACTCCTGCAGGAAACCCAAGTTCGTATCATGTTGGGGCAAAAATGCTGAATAGGCTGAAATAATGGCATGGAGGGATATCATCAAGAGAGCTGTTCCAGGCAATCAGGGATCGTGATCTGTGGAGAGGCATGAGCGCCTTCGCCAGTTGGCAGGGCACATGATGATGTTGATGGGGCAAAAATAAATAGCAAACCTACACAGTCTGTGGTGACAGCACTAGCCATGCGGCCCTAAACTGTCAACTCAATCTCAAAGACTTCCTGCGCCTACACCACAAGAAGTTGTAGAAACAAGCAGTAACTGTCTGGCAGTGTCCATGTTTTGTAACCGGTTGGATATATTCACATTTGTATTGTACATTAATTTTGTTGGACCCCATGTGATATTTGTGTGGGTCTTTGTACTATATGTTTTTATGTTAATATGTAGAGAGCTATACCTCCATTTTTGATCTTGCACATTATGAGAAATATGCTTTTGTCGCACACTCGTCGTACGTAATTCAATTTTGTTAGAAGTGTGAAACTGTAAATTTTATGTAAAATGCCTAGACATAAATGTTGTAAAATACCAATATGTAAACTTGATGTAAAGTGTCAGGTTGTAAACATGAGAAGTCACAAGATGTAAACTTGATGTAAATCACTTTCCCTTAATCTGGTGAGCTGTGAGTGTAAAACACCTTCCCTTGATCTGGGTGGCTGTGGGTATAAAACATTTTCCTTTGATCTGGTGGGCTGTGGGTATAAAACATTCTCCTTTGATCTGGTGGGCTGTTGGTGTAAATCACTTTCCCTTGATCTGGTGGGCTGTGGGTGTAAACCACTTTTAATCTGGTGGGCTGTTGGTGTAAATCACTTTCCCTTGATCTGGTGGGCTGTGGGTGTAAAACACTTTTCCTTGATCTGGTGGGCTGTCAGTGTTAAACACTTTTCCTTGATCTGGTGGGCTGTGGGTGTAAAACACTTTTCCTTGATCTGGTGGGCTGTGGGTGTAAAACACTTTTCCTTGATCTGGTGGGCTGTCAGTATAAAACACTTTTTCTTGATCTGGTTGGCTGTGGGTGTAAAACACTTTTCCTTGATCTGGTTGGCTGTGGGTGTAAAACACTTTTCCTAGATCTGGTGGGCTGTGGGTGTCAATCACTTTCCCTTGATCTGGTGGGCAGTGGGATGGGTGTAAAACACTTTTCCTTAATCTGGTGGGCTGTGGGTGTAAAACACTTTCCCTTGATCTGGTGGGCTGTGGGTTGGGTGTAAAACACTTTTCCTTAATCTGGTGGGCTGTGGGTGTAAAACACTTTCCCTTGATCTGGTGGGCTGGGGGTGTAAAACACTTTTCCTTAATCTGGTGGACTGGGGGTGTAAATCACTTTCCCTTGATCTGGTGGGCTGTGGGTGTAAACCACTTTTAATCTGGTGGGCTGTTGGTGTAAATCACTTTCCCTTGATCTGGTGGGCTGTGGGTGTAAAACACTTTTCCTTGATCTGATGGGCTGTCAGTGTTAAACACTTTTCCTTGATCTGGTGGGCTGTGGGTGTAAAACACTTTTCCTTGATCTGGTGGGCTGTGGGTGTAAAACACTTTTCCATGATCTGGTGGGCTGTGGGTGTAAAACACTTTTCCTAGATCTGGTGGGCTGTGGGTGTCAATCACTTTCCCTTGATCTGGTGGGCTGTGGGATGGGTGTAAAACACTTTTCCTTAATCTGGTGGGCTGTGGGTGTAAAACACTTTCCCTAGATCTGGTGGGCTGTGGGTTGGGTGTAAAACACTTTTCCTTAATCTGGTGGGCTGTGGGTGTAAAACACTTTCCCTTGATCTGGTGGGCTGGGGGTGTAAAACACTTTTCCTTAATCTGGTGGACTGGGGGTGTAAAACACTTTTCCTTGATCTGGTGGGCTGTCAGTGTTAAACACTTTTCCATGATCTGGTGGGCTGTGGGTGTAAAACACTTTTCCTTGATCTGGTGGGCTGTGGGTGTAAAACACTTTTCCTTGATCTGGTGGGCTGTCAGTATAAAACACCTTTTCTTGATCTGGTGGGCTGTGGGTGTAAAACACTTTTCCTTGATCTGGTGGGCTGTGGGTGTAAAACACTTTTCCTAGATCTGGTGGGCTGGGGGTGTAAAACACTTTTCCTTAATCTGGTGGAATGGGGGTGTAAAACACTTTTCCTTGATCTGGTGGGCTGTCAGTGTTAAACACTTTTCCATGATCTGGTGGGCTGTGGGTGTAAAACACTTTTCCTTGATCTGGTGGGCTGTGGGTGTAAAACACTTTTCCTTGATCTGGTGGGCTGTCAGTATAAAACACCTTTTCTTGATCTGGTGGGCTGTGGGTGTAAAACACTTTTCCTTGATCTGGTGGGCTGTGGGTGTAAAACACTTTTCCTAGATCTGGTGGGCTGTGGGTGTCAATCACTTTCCCTTGATCTGGTGGGCTGTGGGTTGGGTGTAAAACACTTTCCCTTAATCTGGTGGGCTGTGGGTGTAAAACACTTTCCCTTGACCTGGTGGGCTGTGGGTGTAAAACACTTTTCCTTGATCTGGTGGGCTGTGGGTGTAAAACACTTTCCCTTGATCTGGTGGGCTGTGGGTGTAAATGGTTGAGGAACACTAGTGTACAGGGACTCTTTGACTTTCGTCTGGGTTCTGTTCTGACTAACAGGTCGTAAGTCCAACTGGTTGTAAGCTGAATTTTTTTTTTCAACATTATTTTAATTCCAATGGGTTTTAAATCTTGCACATAAACACACAAAAATAAATCTTTGTACGTAAAATTTGTGTACATAATGTGAAAAAATACATAATATGTACTCTACTGTAGAAACTGTAAACTAAAATACAAC